TGACAATAGTAAGGATTAGATTAAAAGAAAAAGCAGCAGCTCCCTGTTGTAGCTCAGGCACAGTTATGAGAATGACATTGATGAATCAGCCCATTTACAATTCTACTGTGCTTGAACGAGAAATGTCCCCCCCTTTGGGAATGGCCTAAAGACACTTCAGTCAGTGGCACCGCTCCAACCTGGGCTTGGCATTATTCACCAGACACACACATACACACACACACACACTCAGACTCACATACAAACACACACACACACACAGGCCACTCCATTCGCATGTTATCAACAAATCTCGAGGACAAAAACCGTTCGGAGAAATGGAGTTCAAGTTTATTTTCCCGAACGTTCAGAGAAATAGAGCCAGCCTTTAGTTTTACCTCTTTGCAGCATTTCAAGTGTTTATCAATTTAAATTTTTTTTGTAGTGCCTAGACTTTTAGTATTTTGCAGACTAAAATACTAGTTTCAGATGGAATAGGTCTACGTTTACTTTGTAAACATAAAAGTCTTAATTTTACCCGATGTCCTTTGCCGTCTGTACTGTGCGTGTGTAAAGTGTGAACGGGAGGGATGTGGAGGGGTTTTTTTTTTTACATGAAGGATTTTAGTTTTTGCTGGGTGACTAAACGCAAAATAGGTTACTGCCAAGGTCAAACAGTCTTGTTTTCTTGCAGTACCTTTTGAAGGTATTTTCAAATGAAGTATAGTCCAGGAACATTGCCCCAACCACAACTGAAGTATCTAAATATTCAGACATTTTAAAATCTCTAGCTCTAGAAATTGAATTTGAGGCATAAAATGCTTCTTCCCAGTCCTCGTAGAATGGCAGAATGAAAGGATGACGCCTAAATCTCGCAAAATAACTAAAACAATTCGAGATCGGAAACCTTTAAGAGAAATAGAGTTAAACTTTATTTTCCCGAACGTTCTGAGAAATAGTCACACACACACGCACACGCACTCACACACACGCACTCACACATACGCACTCACACACACTCACGTACTCACAGGGGCCACTCCATTCGCTTATCAAGAAATCTCAAGACCTTGGCAGTAACTTTGTATTTAGTCACCCAACAAAAACTAATATCCTTCATGTAATGTTTAAAAAAATCCCTCC